AGCCCCACGTTCCCCTAGGCTCACCTCTTATCCTCTCTATTTCATGCTTCAGACTCACAATCTTAAAGATTTTTACAAGCATGAGGAAGCCTCACCTGCAGACATACATATAAAACAAACAAACAAAAATAAAACAAACCCAAACAAAATCTTTTGATATGGATTTCCCTCTCTGAAGCCAAAACTAAAGGTGCCATGGTTTCCTGCAACAATCAATCTTTTCCGTCAACAAAGGATGGAGTGAAACAGTAAACCAGTCTAACTTCCTTCTAATACTCCAGCCTCAGACAGAAAGTCAGGACTACCAATGACTTGAAGCCGGCTGAGCTGGATTTAATCTCTGTCAAAGACAACCTATATTTATATCATATCATATCATATCAACCTACATTTATATTTTAAGTTAGGTTAGCAGTATTCTTTCTTGCCTATCTAACATCTTTTCTTTCCATAATTTGGCATACTCTGAGCAGGAAGTGATGGAGATAATACTGATTGGGTCTTGAGTTTATGAAAGGCATGTTGGAAAAGTTCCTGCAATGCTTTTGGCTGATAGCTTAAAATTAAATAATGTAAACACAAGGGCAGGAAGATAGGTATCTGCTTTCTGGTAATGGGGGATAATGCTTCTAGGCCAGAGATCACTCTACTTCAAGGGCCATGTAGCTTCTTGGGACTTAAACTTTTACATGCATGCAGTGATGCTGATTTATTTATTTGTCTTTTCTAAAGTGAAACAGAAAACAAGACTCTTGTGGATCAACTGAGAGCTTGTAAGGTGTAGTGGGTGGGGCACTGGAGTTGGAGCCAGGAAGACTGGAGTTCAAATCCTGCCTCAAATACTAGTGATGGGAGCCTATGCAGATTGGTTAATTTCTCTGGGTAGTAGTTTCCTTACCTTTAAAATGAGGGTATTGGACTCAATGACATCCTAGGTCTCTTCTGGCTCTAAATCTATAATCCTATGAATTTGTATCCCGGAAAAGGGATTTTCCTTCCTAGAAGTATGTTATGAGTAGGGGGAGAGCCTGAGATGTTAAGTTGCCCAATTTCATACCAGAAGTAAACACAAAGACTCTATTTAGGGTCTCCTGACCCTAAATCCAATGCCCTTTACATTTTACCATCCTGCTATGGGATTGGATGAAATCAAAGCTTTGGCCTACTGTGATATTAATGAAAAAAATAAAATAAAACATATCTAACAATGAAAACATGATTAGACATTTTTAGATGTGAGGAAGATAGCTGGGAATGAGATTGTCTTATCTACAAACAAACCTATGGAACAAGTAATCCACACTCTTCCTCCAGCCCCATTTTTGTTTCTTTCCCTCCAAATAACACCAGGAATAGTTTCTCCTTTTATTTAAATTAAAGCCCCACTCTGAAATACCCACAGAGGAAGAAAGAAAGGTTTTTGATTTAAACAGAAGAGCACCAATCCCTTTGATGTGACACACTTTCATGTGTCACATAGGTGACATAGGGATAAGCCTGCCTTGGTGTTATCACACTGGATTTCTGCACATTAAGCCCAAATAGAACAAGGAACATAAACATTTAGGAGAAAAGGAGAGAAATCCAGAAGGCTATCAGAGATGATTATGACTGTGGTGATTTTTGTGACGATGATGACATTAGCAGATGTTAAAGTTCAAAAAGTTTAAATTTCATTCATAAATGTCATTCCTTGCAGCAGGAGAAAGCTTTTCAAGTTAATGCAGAGCACAGATGCCATGTATATAATTAAAATTATAGCAATTAAAATCCACACATAACTTTAAAAATCCAACATGTTAGGCAATGATCCAGCCTCAATGATACTAAAACACTAATGAGAAGTAAAATGGAGGCATTTGAATTTCATGTAAAGGACCTGGGTACAGGTTCTGTGCAACTTATCTCTGGTATGCCTATATTTCCCCATCTTTAAAATCAGTTAAAATCATGTAATCAGTTGAGAGGCAGGCTGGCCTAATGCATGGTGTACTGGACCTGTAGTCAGGAAGACTTAGATTAGAATCTTATCTTTGACACTTACTGTAAGTTCTATGTAGGGATGGGCTGATAAATGTTTAACAACTGTCTCTCTTACATATATACCATACACTTTAAATTTCATCTGCATCATTAACATAATCTCCATCACTTTCTTAAGTCTAGACAATCAACAAAATAATAAAATCCTGATTTATGGTGTTTGCTGATTTACAAAGTATGAACGCTCACACTGAAAATATAACAAGTGGCTGTTGCAAGCTAGAGTAAGCTAGCTCCAGCATATACTTGACTATGTGACTATAGTAACCTCTCTGATACTCAGATTATTCATCTATAAAATGGGTAATAATGAGCAGATAGGTGGTGCAGTGGATAGAGTAACAGGCCTAGAATCAGGAAGACTCATCTTCCTAAGTTCAAATCTGTCCTCCGGCACTTCCTGGGCAAGTTGCTTAACCCTGTTTGCCTCACTTTCCTCATCTGTAAAATGAGCTGGAGAAGGAAATGGAAAACCACTCCAATATTTTTGCCAGAAAAATCCCAAATGGGGTCACAAAGAGTCAGATGCAACTGAACAACAACAAAAATGGGTAATATCCACAGCCCCTATCTCACAGGGTAATTGTTAGGCTCAAATGAGATAATGTATATAAAACCACTTTGTAAACTTTAAAGCCATATAGGAATACGATATCTGTGGTGTCATTGATAGAGGGAACCCTAAGAAGAAGAAACTAAATCCCTTCACCAGTGGAGGTCAGACTCTTCTCTAGTTTTAAAGTTGTTATAGTTGCTTGAGGCACTAAGAAGTTAAATTTCTTGCCCAGGATCACAAATATAGTATGTGCCAGAGGAAAGACTTGAACTCAGGTTTTCTGGCCCTTGAGGCCAGCTCTCTACCCACTGCCATGTTAAATACTACTACTACTACTACAACTATTACTACTACTACCACCACCACCATCATTACTACTACCACTACAACTACTACTACTATCACTGCTACTACAACCACTGCTACTACTGCTACCACTACCACCACTACTACTATACTTCTACTATCACTACTACTATTACTGCTACTACCACCAGTACCACTGCTACTATTGATACCACTACTGCTATTACCACTTCTACTACTACTACTACTGCTGCTGCTAATACACTACACTCCTCCTCCTCCTCCTCCCACTGCTACTACTACTATTGCTGCTAATGCTACTACTACTACTACTATTACTACTACTACTACTACTACCACCACTACCACCACAACTACTTCTACTATTACTACTGCTACCACTACCACTACTACTGCTGCTGCTGTTGCTACTGATAGTACTACTGCTTTTGCTATATATATATATGGCTTTGATTTGATTGTAATCTCTTTGGGGGCAGCTCTTTTAGAGTTCATTCTCATTTCTTTAATACACTGCTGTTAGTACAATGGAGGAGTACTCCAGGGATGTTTTTATCTGAATGACTGATTCAAATCAATTCAACATCATTCAACAAACATTTACAAATTATTTCCCATGTTTAAGGCTCTGGGCTGGTATTGGAGTGGATATGTCTTCTCCTTAAATGATCATTTGTCATAAATTCCCTCAGAACATGAAAATATCTTGTTGAGCTCTGATTCTAGAATCTCATGTGGAGGGTAAGGCTTAATTCACTGTGAATGTAATAAAGACTACAGAATATGAAATATAAGAATGAAAAAGGAGAAATGTATTAAGGAAGTTATAACTTAGTATAGAATTGGGAATTTGTGGAGACATTAAAGAAAAAAAGAGATAATAATCTTTTGGAGATAGTTTACATGTAATTGACAAATCAACAAGTTTATAAAGTGATGACAATGTGTCAAGTAGGGTTCTATGTGTTGGGATACAAAGACAAAAGTGAAATACTATCTGCCTTCAAGGAGATTCCATTCTGTAGTACACATTTTAAATTGTACAATATTTACACATACACAATATAAGTTATTTTGGACACTAGAGAAATATTTGAGAATAAGGAAAAGTCCTATCTTAGGGTGGACCAATGAACTCAACAACTCAATGACATCCTACTTAGACCTAAGTATATAAGATTATTGTCAGTCTTCAAAAAAAAAGTGGGATTTTAATTAAAATTAGACCTGTGATGAAAGAATTAAATTACTGATCACATCTACTTTTGCTACATGATAATGTCGAGTAATTAAAATTTTTATATCCAACTTGAACCAATGTCTCCCAAACTCTTCACATGACTCTAAAAGAGAAGGCTATACTATTTTAAAGGTCTTCTTGTTAGAAATGTCAGAGGCTCTTTAAAATTAAATCCTGTGGTTATCATAGCCAACACTGTAGTCTTAACAATTTCTCACTGCAGAATAGAAATACATACAAGCACAAAGTACAAAAAAAAAGTGCAAAATTTTCTACATGGTCCATTTTAGAAAATATATTTTCACCTAGTTCTAAACTGCTGCTCCTAATTAACTGATGATTTAGATCAAGGTCATTATCAACTCAAATGACCAAATGTGAAAAATACTGTTCTCATGTCAGAGACCTTGAAGTAAGAATGCTCTAATGGGATTAAAATGCCTTGCAAAGAGTTATAACATGAATAGCTCAAGAAATCTTAATTTGTAAAAGGTCACAGAGTTGCAAAAAGCATCACTCATTTCAACTAATTAAATGAAATTTTAGTTAAACAGCACCTTCAAATATTGGTATTGCAGCTGCAAGTGCATTTAAATAGCATTTACTCAGATATAATTAGCACAATTAAACATGGGTAGAAGTAGAAACACCATTCCTAATTATATTGATATAATCAGTTTTATTAATGCTTTATGGCAACAAAAGTGACATCTGACAGTAGAATACAGTTCATAACTGTATCTAGTGCTAAGCATTTAAACATACTTGGAGCAAAAAGCCTTGTAAATTGTGGAAAGAAAAGAAAAGCCTCTGTACTAATAAAGGCGTTCTTACCTGTTACGATACCATAGTTGGGAGGTTCAAGAATTACTCCGTAAAACTGGATGATGTTTCTGTGACTGAGGATACTAAGTATTTCTGCCTGTTGAAAAATCAAAGACAAATTTGGATATCAGTACAATTTTCATAGGTATACAATATTCTAGTAAATCAGAATTTTTCAGTTTCTGACCATCTCAGTCTTTTGTTTTCTCTAAATATACACAAGTTCTTTATGCAAAAGCCTGTTGACTTTTGAAAAACTGTCTTTCATAGCACTTTAGGAAATAAAAATTTCCATTAAGTATTTAGAATAAAAACATTTTGGCAGGTGCTTTTGCAATGCTAAGTGTGCTATAATATGTTGAAGGGTTGTTACTATAAGGGTTTTCCCAAATTTTTACTTGGTAATACATCTGAAGCACTTTTACCTATGCTATGTTCTATGTCTTTTGGGAGACCAAACTGGTGAACATGAATGCATGAAACATTCTTTTGTAGTCTTTCTTCCTGGACAGATTTTTTGTTTTGTTTATTTTTGTTAAATACACGGTGCTTATCTTAGCCAACAGAGTAGTCTGAAGAGTTTCCTCTTTCTGTAGGAACAAAAATAAATTCTAAAAATATCCTTTTGTCAGTTGAATAGATTAGGTACACAATACACAGTTTAAATGACCATGATTATCTAGTGTTAAATTCAAAGATCCAAGCTTTGGGAGCAAGAACTCACCATTTGACAAAAATTGCTGGGAAAATTGGAAAGCAATTTGGCAAAAACTAGAAATAGACCAACACCTCACACCATATGCAGAGAAAAGGTCAAAATGGATGAATGATTTAAATATGAAGGAGGATATCATAAATAAATTAGGGGAGTATTAAAAAACCTACCTCTCAAATTTCTGAATAACGGAAGAATTCATGAGCAAATAAGAGATAGAAAAGTTAATGAGAAATAATGTATGATTTTTATATAATGTATAATTATGATTATATGAGATTAAAAAGTTTTTGTACAAATAAAACTAATGCAGTCAAAGCTAGAAAGAAAGCAGGAAACTGGAGGAAAAAATTTTTATAGCTAGTTTCTCTGATTAGGGCCTCATTTCTCAAATATATAGTGTGCTAAAATTCATATTTATGAAAATATGAGTGAATCCTCAATTGATAAATGGTCAAAAGATATGAACAGGCAATTTTAAGAAGAAATTAAAACTGTCAATAGTCACATGAAAAAACACTCAAAATCACTATTGATTAAAGAAATGTAAATTAAAACAATTCTAAGATACCACTTCACACCTATCAGATTAGCTAATAGGATAGAAAAAGAAAATGACAAATGCTGGAAGGGATGTGGAAAAATAGGGACACATGCTCTATTGGTGGAGCTGTGAACTGGTATAACTATTCTGGAAACAACTTGAACTATTCCCAAAAGGTTATAAAACTGTGTCTACCCTTTGGCCCAACAATACCATTACTAGGTCTGTATCCCAAAGAGATTAGAGAAAAGGGAAAATGATCTATTTGTACAAAAATATTTATAGCAACTCTTTTTGTAGTGATAAAGAATTAGAAATTGAGAGGATGCTCATCAATTGGGGAATGGCTAAACAAGTTGTGTTATATGATTGTGATGGAATACTATTGTTCTATAAGAAAGAATGTTCAGGATGGCTTCACAACAACCTGGGAAGTCTTACATGAACTGATGCGAAGTGAAGTGAGCAGAATCAGGAGAACACTGTATATAGTAACAGCAATATTGTAACAATGATCAACTTTGAAAGTTTTAGCTATTTTGATAGATAATGATCACAGACAATTTCAAAGGACCCATGATGAAAAATGTTATCCATCTCCAGAGACAGAACTGATGAACTGAGTACAGATTGAAGCATGTGTTTTTTACTTTCTTTGTGTGTGTGTGTATATGTGTGTGTGTGTGCATGTGTGTGCTTTCTTTTGTAACATGGCTAATATGAAAATATATTTTGCATGACTTCACATGTATAATCAATATCATATTGCTTGCTTTCTCAAGAAATGGGGGAGGGGTGAGCAGGTTGGAGAGAATTTGAAACTCAAAATTTTAAAAAATGTATGTTAAATATTTTTAAAAATATAATTGGAAAATATTAATATAAATAAATATACACTCATATAAATATATAATTATAATTTAATATTATAATATAGATATTAATATTGATGTTCTAAAAATAAAATGTCCTTTTGATAATACATCTAGATTATTAAAATTAGACAAGTATTAGAAAAAGGAGGTGTAATTCAATAGCTTTGATATGGGCATCATTGTCCTTTAAAAGGCTAGTATGGTGTATGAAAAACAACACTAGATTTAGAGTCAAGAGAACTAGGTTTGCACACTATGTATTATCTTTGTGATGTTGGGAAAGTCATTTCACTTCTCTAGGGCTCAGTATCCCCATTCATAAAATGTGGGAGTTAGAGCAATGGTTATCATTCTAAAGGTCTTTCTATATTAAAAAAACTCTATGATCTTATGAAATAATGATGAATGATTTGCTAACAATAACTATGGACCCATATGGAACTTACCTGTATCTAACCTATCACTATTGTTCTGTGTACTAGGTTGATCCAATGAGATAATGTATATAAAGCTCTTTGAAAACCATTGAAGAGAATGTAAATATGAGGTATTATGAAATAATGGTGAAATAACAATAAAGGATGCAGGAATCAAGAAGCCCACCTAGATGGGCCTTGTAAAATCACATGGATGAGTCTTCCCAGGCACTTAAGAGGTCCTCTTCTGATAGTAGTGCCTGAGTGACCAAAGATCTATCAACACAGGAATTCAGTAGTTTTCATCTTATAACTATACCTTACAAATAGAGTAACAGACTCATGAATTGTTATAAATGAAAGGGATTTTAGAGATGGTCTGCTCCAACCAGCTCATACATGGATTTGGAAGTTGATAATTTAGCCTGTAGCAAGATTTATAATTTCTGCTACACCAGCCTCCACCCCCAAGATGGATACATTGGTCAATCTCATGGTTTTAACTCCCTTCTTTTGGAATCCTTTGGAAAGATTTCCAACAGAACATTGAATTAATAAATGTTGAGTGTTAGTCTCCTGCCCTCATTTCACAAATTTTTTTTCTTCCCAATCCAAGTCATATCCTGATTTCTTTAAGAAAAGCAGTAAACTGCTGGATGACAGTGCAGTCTCTCTCCAGCTTTCAGGTTTGCGCTACTTCAACTACACATGCATATTAATTCAGGCATCTTAGAAAAAGTCTGTATAGACTTAGGTTAGAAATACTACATTTTCTTAAACACATTTAAGTAAAAAGAAAGTCAGTTCTTTTTGTGAAAGAAAGGAAAGATACTGAAAGCAGCCTACTGATATTTAGTATGATTCAGATAACCAAGTCCACCAATTATATTCACATCCTCTATCTTGTTCCAAACTATCTCCTCAACTGTCACTTGCTCTCCCACTTTATCTCTGAATTATTTTGGAGAATCCACCACTCTAATCACGACCAGGCACTGACAATGAGGCACAGTGATACTACAAAGAGTACTGGATTTTGACTTTCAGAATATGGGTTAGATTCCCCAGCTCTGCTACTCACTATCCTTGTGACCATAAGCAAGTCTTCTAAACTCTAAACAGCAGCTCTGTTATCTGTAGAATGAAGGGGTTAAATTAGACAATCTCTAATATCCCTTTTGGCTCTAAATTTTAAATTCTATGAGTCCAAGAGTAGGAAAAGGCATCAAGGCATGGTTGGAAAAAGGACTGGCCTTAAAATCAGAAAGAACTGGCTTTCAAATTCTGCCTGTCACATCTACTAACTAGGTGACCACAGGAAAGTCACTTGATTTCTTACTGTCCCAGGCAACTCTATAAGACTATACGTTATTAAATAGCCCAGTTGCAGATCTGCATCTGTAGAAGTTTCCACAACAGAAATTCTCTGATTACATCATAAATACAGATTTTTTTTAAAAGTCAAAGATATAATACTTCTGTTTTAAAGGAAGGTTGTTGGTTACTTTTGTTGCTGCTGTTTCTTTCAACATTCTATAGTCTTAAATCTCCAGACAAAGAATGTAATGAAGGAAAGGGAAAGGTTCCAACCTAGGTCACCATTGTTCCAATGAATTGTTTTGTTTTGTTTTTTGTTTTGTTTTTTGGTGAGGCAATCGGGGTTAAGTAACTTGCCCAGGGTCACACAGCTAGTAAGAGTCATGTGTCTGAGGTCGGATTTGAACTCAGGTCCTCCTGACTCCAAGGTTGGAGCTCTATCCACTGTGCCACCTAGCTGCCCCCCTCCAATGAATTCTTGTTGTTATTTGTCCATTCTCGAGGAGGACCAATGACATCAGGAAGGTAATATCTTGACTTGCAAGTGTATTGAATTTAAGTGAGGCAGGGATGTGCAAAGTCTCCAGCTTTATTCTTTAGCTTCAATGAACACCGAGAATGCCAAATAGGACCCGTTTCCAGGGCCCAAGGCACTTTAGACCAGTGGTATCAAAAGCAAAATAGAAACAGATCCCCGCAGTCCCATATTGATTTGTTTTCAGTCATTTCAGTCGTGTTCAACTCTTTGTGATCCTATTTTGAGGTTTTCTTGGCAGAGTTACTGGAGTGGTTTGCCATTTCCTTCTCCAGCTCATTTGACAGGTGAGGAAACTGAGGCAAACAGGGTTAAGTGACTTGCCCAGGGTCAGCTAGTAAGTGTCTGAGGACAGATTTAAACTCAGGAAGATGAGTCTTCCTGACTTCAGGCCAAGTGGAATTTGACAACCTCTGCTCATAGCAAAGTGTCTTAAGAGTACCTACACTTTTCAGGGTCATTTCAAGTAGTTTAGTCTGGTCTTCAAAGATATGCTCCTAGAAGTATGATTCCCCCAGGAGCTTAAGAATGCATGGGCATGGATTTTAGTCCTCCCCAGGCCTGGTCAACCCATTGAATGAAACTCTTTCTTCACTTGCCCCAGGCCTGACCAGAAGCAGATCATAATCAGTAGATATATCCATGAATTTGGACAGCGCTCCTGGCATTACTCTGGATCAGACTAGCAATCAACA